CTCTCTCTCTCTCTCTCTCTCTCTCTCTCTCTCTGCGCGCGCTCGCTGTGTGTGTGTGTGTGTGTTTGTGTTTTCCCTCATGCGACTGCGTGTGTGCTCGCCTTTTCTTTCCTAAACTCGCTCGCTCGCGCTTCCTTTGTTTGTTTGTTTTTAAAGGTCTCCTTTTAACGGATCAGTACACGTGCGGATTTTCCATTTCTGTTTTCTTTAATGGTCGCAATGGACCACGGATCGGATACGAAACTGATTGGAACGCATACTACACTTTTTTCCCCATTAATATGGCATCCCTGTGCAACTCTCTCTCTCTCTCTCTCGCGCGCGCACGCGCGCGCGTGACTGCCTGTGCTGATTCTCCGTTTTTTTTTTTTGTTTTCTTTCTTAATGCTCTCGATGGACCACGGATCAGATATGAAACTTACCGGGCCAGATAATACACTTGATAGTGCTTTCTGGGGGACGGGGGCTGTCTCTCTCTCGCTCTCGCACGTGCACGCTGTCGCACTTTTTCTAGTCAGGCCACTGATGGCGACCACAAGGCCAACAAGCTGCCAGGCAGGATTTTGATGATTTAAGCAATAAATTCATTAATTAATATACGCAAATCCCCTCCTGTTGTATGCCTCCCGCTTCGAGCGAGACCATTCAATTATGGTCTACGCTGGTCCTCGGTCTTAGGAATCTTTGATTATGATTCGCAACAGCAATGATCATGCAAATAATAAAATTAAAATTAAATATGCCATGCACGTATCAAGCTTGACAATTTAGGAATTTGAGAACTGTGGCAAGATCAACAGAGAAAGTAAAATCAAGCAATGCCAATGAAAGTGCGAGGATATGGGTCCTCGGCAGGCCTAAGGGGCCCCCTGCAGCATACGTGCCCGCCCTAAGTGAAGGCGGGCCTAACAAATCACGAGAGGCCCTTGGGTGTCAATTTCGCATTTAGGGTCCAGGCAGTTTCATTGTGCCAGTTGGTTGAAGGGAAACACAGGCCGAGCAGCGTGGAAATTCCCAGGCCTTCTAGGCCTTTCCGAAAGTACAGGCCCTGGGCGAGATTCGCAGCCTCATACACAGACAGTTGGGAGGTCCAACCGAATGAGGCCCAGTAGCTGCACCAGAGGCGCAGCATCCTGGGGCCTACCGGAAGCTTCTGGGCCGAGGCCAGTCCAACAGGCTGCCGAAGGAAGCAGGCTCTTTCCATATAGGAAAGAGCTCGCTGCGTGGCCAGTCATTCCGGCACTTGCATGCTGGCGGCAGCGCTGCGAGCTGAACCTCGTGGGCTGCCGCTAGCGCTGAGCAGCGAGGTGCAGGCACGTGCGGTCGTGCAGGGAGCAGGGCGCTGCTGAGGGCAGCGCCATAGCCCAGCCTCCATAGCTGGCAGGGCTTGGATGTACAGAGAGGCGCAGGGGTGGTCTTCAGGTGTACAACAAAGGGAGACGTGGGAGAGAGTCACAGGGGAGAGAGAAGATGATGATGATGATGATGTGAGGGCACATACCTGGTATTGGCGATGGTTCTGCATGGGCAACATCTTCAAGTACTTCCGGTGCTGCTGACGTCAACAGTTGCATTGTCAATTAGTAGGCTAGTAGTAGCTGTGTAGGGAGTAGGCTGGGCGCCGAGCGCCAAGTAGGGAGATAGAGACTGGATACATATGTTGGTGGTGGCGAGAGCAAGCTCTCATTGACATTGACTTTCAGTGCTACGATTCTCCATTGGTATTATATTGGTGCAATGCTGCTTCCTGAACGGTGTGTTACGATTTGGCTTTCAATGTGATTGTGCAATCTGAATATTATCATCTCGCTACTGTTCATTTTCCTTGCAATTTGGTATCGGAGCTGGTTCGAACTGCGCTCATTGGTTCTTCGCATTAGCTGTTCGGTGCTTCGCATGAGGTGTGGGGCAGTGATAAGGCTTGGGCGATTGGACATTAGGCGGCCTAGGGTCGTGTGGGCACATCAGGAAGCTGTGGTGACATTAGGGCTGTACGCTGGATGATGAGAGCTCGCTGATGTGGCATTTAAGCCGAGGTGGAACTACATTCTGCTGTTGGTTGTGCCGAGGCAAGGACCGGTCATCATAAATGCACATCAGGTTGCCGGTGAGAAATCTGTGGTTGGGGGCAGGATTATGAGGTACGTTTCTTCCTTCCTTATCTACCCTCTTTATTGCTTCTTACCGTGCGGAAGTGAGGAGTCCTCTCAATGTGAGGTGTCACGAGCGCTCAACATTGAGAGTCGACATTCGTCCTGGCCAGCAAGCTGGTGGGAGACGGACTACCTCTGAAGGGCCCTGGACGAAGCACTCGGGTCACGGTCACCATAACAACCCGCTGGGACTAGTACACGCATGCTTTGCCGCAAGTTCTTGGTTCTGCTGCTGCGCAATAGAGGTCATGCAGGGCATGCCAGCCCTTTGAACAGACGCTTACGAGACCGTCTCTAAATATTTCTGGCGGGGACTCGGTGTTGATTCTAGCTGTGATCGTCGTCCTGTCTGCGACGTTAAATAATTCCTGAGCAATTACGGGGGATCTCCTTAAATGCCTCCTGATCAGCCAGATCAAACCGGGTGTAAGGCCCGTTGCATGCGAGGATAAATAATGTGCAGGGGCTGGCAAGTTCGACGTTGACTTGGGGCACAGGGGTGGACCGGATTGCACACCTTTAGACAAGCTGCTCAACCAGATGCCTAGGAACGTCGACACAAAGTGACTGCTCAAGAGGAATACAGGGAAAGGGTTGGATTCCGGCAACTGTTCGCCATGGCATTGATCAGATAAACAGCCATTCAGCATACATCTCTGCAGGGAGCATTATTTTTATTTTTGGATTGTTTAGTTGTTACAGACTTAATTAACAACTGACAGACAGCTGCAGATAGACTAGTATATTCTTTGCTGCGTCGCAATCTGTAGTAGAGTAATCTAAAAATAAATTGAATATTCCCTGTAGGATCTGACACGGGGTGACACCTAACTACCTAATTGTTCCTGTCCAAACCGACAAAAGTTAGTAAGTGTATCATAATCGGTTGTGTGTCATGCTCAGGTAGGATTCGGTGTGGATTCTAGTTTAGATCACACACACTGTAGCTCATGAGTGATGCAAGCACTAGTGAGGAGGAGTTGTTAGTGGATGACCGTAGGACTACTCGTAGAACTGCTCTCAGTCGACCTTTGACTTTCCTAGAGTTAGGTCCAGGAGACGAGAGGAGACTGCAGAGAGAGGCTAGAGAGAGAACAGCGGCAAGAAGAGCGAGGGTGGCCGAGGACAGTGGCAGGTCTAGGATTACAGCTAGCACCGGTATGACCATGGCTACTTCCTCTACCTACCATGTCATAGGCCTCTTCACACGCCACTTCGTCAGGAGTC